AAGTGAGAGTGGGCAACAGGGCCGGTCTCTGAGTGAGTGAGTGTATGAGACAGGGTTAGGCAGCTGCCTGAGCTTTGATAGTGCACGCAACAAAGCTGACGGCACCTGTAGGGCACTGGCAGAAAAAAGGGGCCCGATAGGACACGCACCTCCAGCAGCCGGTGCTTTTCAAGAGAGCTCGCTGGCGGGTTTCCAAGGGGCTGATGTCCCCTTTTTCCTTGCAGAGGGGGGCAGGTAACAGACTGAAAGACGTGGAGGAGGGGGGAAAAGGGGGGATTTGAAAGTTGGGTCATTCCTTCAGTCATCGTGACACGTACAAGCCTCTCCACTGTCGGCCTCTGCCGCAGGAACGGTCAGTGCACACCAAGTTTGCTGTTCCTTTTCTGCTGGGTAATCGCATACGGGCCCTGCGCAAAATCATTCATTCCTCCTCCTCTGACCAGCATGGGGTTTTTTACACACCCTGAAAGGGGAAGGCAAAAAAAAAGTCTAACTTCTGACCAAACTCTCACATTAATTCCTGCATCTCAAACAATGCACCCATAGGAAAAATTTTGCTGTTATTTGCCTGATCCATAGTTGGGGCGAGGTTAGTTACGCAGCCTACAAAGCAGTTCGCTCCTTACCCCTAACAGAAACTATGTAAGGAAACGCACGCTTTGTGGGCAGCTACGGTAACACGGTACTTCTATGCTCAGGGACTAATTAGCTGTAAAAGATTAACTTTATATACGCTTGACACTTCAAAATGTAAGCTTTGCTCAAATCTCCGTCTTTTTATAACATTTATTGCAAGGTGATAACAAACGTTACACCTTGGAATTCGTGCACGACACGGTGTTTCGCAGCCGGTGGTACGCCTGGAATCCGCTGATAAAGCTCAGCTTAGACTGATGTTCACTGCCTACAGCAAGGTATTTATTTCAGAAATATCAGTAAAATATTTTCCATTGACACGTAATAAATACAGTACCATAAAAAAAAATAATTCACAAGCATTCAAAACTTCCAGAACGAGATGTTTTACACACATAAACAGCAAGCATGGCAGAGCGCGGCATTATCCTTAAGTTCTGAACTGATCCAAAAAAAGAGGTTAGACAGTTGAACAGATTTTTTTTTTTACAGAGATATTTTTTCAGCGTTAGCACAATGTGCTTTGTAAATCACAGTTTTAATAAACTATCTTAATACTTATCACAGTCGCATTACGCATTATCTGTGGCGCTAGTTAACAGATAACCACATTACAAAGTCCACAGATGCTGCGGTAGCTGACTGGAGTTCAGCTCAGTGGCTTGCTGCTGCTTCCAGAAGAACGACTTCCTCCAGCGCAACGCAGTTGGGGTGGCTGGTTACGGAGTGGACGTAGCAGCTCAACAACCCCACCTCCTTTCCCAGCACGCTCTGCACCTCATAACTCTGCAGTGATAAAAGCATGTTGATTAAAACAAACAGTCCTGGACATTCTGTTCTAAGCAGCATTCGGCCGGGAAGATGCAGGGTGTAAGGTCCTCTTCCAACAGACAGGGGTTTTTTTAAGGACTCAAAAAAGAAAGGTGCATTAGAACTGATGGAAAGAATGAATACATCGGATTTTCAATAACAAGATCTTACTCCTGCTTGAAGCGCTGCTTCCCTACCAGAACTTTAAAAATGAGCTGTTGAGAAAAAAAAAAAAACAACTCCTGTGACTTTGAACTCAATTTTGCTGAAGCAGAACCTTCAGACACTCCCTTCATCTAGCTTTCTTAGGATTTCACATGTGCTAGCAATGTGTATATACATACTCGGTGTCGATCACCTTGGCTAACAGATCCACTGCAGGAAAAAATATTTTTTAACTCTTTTTCCTCCCCCCTTTTAACATGATGTTGTAGCAGGTGGCATCCCTGGCCACCACCGGCACCTGCGCAGCCCCTCCTGTTTCCCCATCCGGCGGGCAGCGTACCCACGGGAGCGGTGCCCGAGTGAACCCGCAGAGACTGGATTCTGCGTGGAGGGGAGGGATGCGAGGCGAGGATGCTTTCTCCCAGAGGAGACGGCATGTTAAGGGAAGAGCTGGCGACACCGGTAGCTGGTACCTCGCTGCAGAGGGTATCTCGGGTGGCAGCTTTACAGCCGTTTCTTTCCTCAAGGGGACTTGCCAGCGACCACCCTCTGACCGTGCCCCCCGCTTTTGCCTGGGCTCTGCATTTGTGCAGGTATGTGACACCCACCTCTACTGCCTGGATCAGGGTATAAACAACCCTCTTCTTTTTTTTTTTTTTTTCCCTCCCAGATTATTTTTACCCCAGACCGGTTCTGCAGTCCAATTCGCCGTGCAGCTGCACAAACAGCTAGACTGGTGTGGGCTGCCACAAGGAAAAAATGGGAATTTTTTTTAAATTAAGACTTTGGTTTTCCTGTTGGCTTTTTTTCTTCCCTTGCTTGATCCTTTTTTTTTTTTTTTTTCCCTCCCAGATTATTTTTACCCCAGACCGGTTCTGCAGTCCAATTCGCCGTGCAGCTGCACAAACAGCTAGACTGGTGTGGGCTGCCACAAGGTAAGGAACAAGTGGCCAGGGCCAGCGACGGCTAAAACCAACCTCCCTGCCAAAAGAAGTGATTACAAAGCTACACCCTTAGAAACTTCAGCAGCACTGGCAAAAATACGCCACCTCCAAGTGGTATTTCTCGTGATTAATCTTTGCTGAGGTGTGCTGCTTTTTAAAATGCAGTGGTTCAGAGGTGGAAACGCTTATAAAAAAAAAAAGGGAAAAATTATCCCTGCATTTCAGCTAGGGGGGGAGAAAATGTTTCTAAGTTGCCAGACTTCTAAATACTAACATTATAAAAATTGAAACATGAAAAAGAGGTTGTTTAAATTCAAGTAACTTGAAAAAGAACTACGTTTTGTCAGTCTGTAACCAAACCAGACACATCCTGTAAAACTTAGCAAGATTTAACCGCTATTAAAAGAGAAAACATATTTTGGAAATTTCTTGTATCTCTTTGCTTAAATGAAATAGACACCCTCCAGCATAAGAAAAATAATTCGCAATTTCAGAGAAATGTTCCACTTTTTAAAAATGACCCTTAAAACCATGGAGCACGTAACAGCAAAATGCTGGAAGACTGTATAAGACAGGGAAAGCAAAATGACCCCAGTACGTGTCACCTAACCGCAGACAAGTAACTGGGATGACTAAACAAGACGACGAGCTGACCTTTGCTCCCTTCCTCACGATGGAGAGGGGGGGATCTCGGGATCCTGACATGACTTAATCACCCTCTGAAGGTGCCGCTCCATCGCTGCTGACCACCCGCAGCCAATGCCAGCCAGGCACCGACCCGGGTGCCTCCCTCACCTGCGATAAATCTGGGTCACTGTGCCAAATGTCAGGGTTCTTCTGATATCGCAGATTAAAGAAGAACTACTTCACAATTACATAAGCTGTACTTTAGCCCATGGAGCCCCATGACTTATGCGTGTTTCCTTCATGCAAGTATAAAGTATTCTCTTGCATGAATTTTGCAAATTTCTCTACGATTACCGCCTGCCGGTAATTTCACAGTTGCGCTCTTAGAAAGTAGCTGTGGTTTATAGGGTTTAGAAGACCATCCTGAAAAGGTGGATGCTCGGACTGTATCTTTGCAGTCTTGGATCCTCAGCCAGAAAATGGAGCAAAGCCCAGCACTGCTCGTCGCAGCCCTGAGAGCCCCAACACCGTGCCATTTGCAAATAGCTCTGCAGATCTGCAGCTGAGCTAAAGCTGCCTGCACATCCCACCGGCGGCACCCCTCTTTGAAAAAGGAGGTCGTCAGCCTGATGACAGCAGGTGGAAGGTGGGCATGCCGAAGGGTCCAGCCCACTCAAATCCCAGGCTGGACATGAGAAAAAAATTCATTGTTTCTAGTGAAATCTCCTGTCGCTCCTAGTGCAGTTCTCAAACGAGCTGCCTGGAAAGGCAGAATCTCCATCCCTGGAGGTTTTCAAGACCCTGCCAGCCAAAGTCACGGCTGAGCTGTCTGTGCATTGGCAATAGCCTGATGCGAGTGGTAGGTCGGACGATGACCTCCAGCAATCCCTTCCATTTCTATGATTCAAGTATTTTCCCACCTGATTCCTATCTCCTGTACTCTGCCTCTACAGTAAGTTACGCTGTTTAACTTCCTTTCATCAACATTCATTGTACCTACCCCATCCTCATTGGCGGAGGACGTCAGGAGAGAAGAGATTGTCCTTTGTAACAGCTGGAATGAGAAAATTAACAAGTTTTGTTCATGACAAAAATCTTATCTATGCAAAGATGTTCTGTTCACAGGTTAAAACAGTCATGCTGAACAAAGATTCAGTATTTTAATATAGAATGGTTTTGTTTCTCTGGCCAAGAAAGCAGAGGAGAGGTGACACAAAAGATGCTCAGAATGGGAGTCTAAAAATACATGTTCCTTTTAGGCTGTGGAGACTGAGGTTTCCCAAGGCCCAACCCAACAAAGCCTTTCAGCTGGACCATAAAACAGTTTGCAGACCTCAGGGTGAACTCAACAACTGTATTATTTGAGTAAGAAAGATGTGGGAACTGGGTTCTTAGTCCAATGAAACACAAGTTTAGTATCAGATTAAGTTATGGGACACTCTCACAACTTTTAATTTTTCTTCTGACAAGAGCTGTTTATAAAAAGTGCGGCCGAATACCCATGTGTCTACATATCTAACCTCACTATACTCAATGCTCCGAAGCTCATTTTGTGCCATACCTTTACTTTTACTGTACTTTGAGATCGGGATGGACAACTCAAGAAGACTTCCAGCTGCATTTTCAAAACCGGTGAAAGGACAACTTCAGAGCACTGGTTGCAATATAGCGATCCTCTGAAACACGCAAGCAATGATGGAAAAACATAGAGAAATGGAAAAGCTATCATCGATTGTAATTCAAAACACACAAAAAACCAGCTCGCTTATTCTCTAAAATACTTTGCTGGTAGACTTTAAGTAGGAAAGCCCTGGTAGAGATTCAGCTGATAACAATAAACAGAGCTCTTCTGTTGGTAGAGCTGAGTAACTCTCTTGGAGGACCTAAACTCTTCTAGCAAAAGGATCCTCCTTTTGGAAGTTTTGGCAACATGGGGGGAGGTTGCTATTTATAGCCATCCCACTTAAGCAAATACTAATCTCATAACCTTCTAAAAGTTATGGCAAAAGGAAATTTGTAGCATAGATTTGGCCCGAGTGGCTTATTGACTTAGGCCCTCGTTCGGCAAACGTTCAACATTTTCAGGACATACTTAGGTCATATACATAAAATTAAGCTCAGCTATAAGTGCTTGTTGGAATAACATCTTAAACAAACATTGATGCTACGTTGTTCTCCAAATGAAGCAGAAGTGTCCTTCACAGCTGAGATTTTTTTTTTATCAAACTACACTACTATGTGAACATACACACATCCATATTCTTTGCGTGTTAGCATAATATAGGGCAACCTTTTTTTTATTTTCAGCCTTTTCCCCCAAGGGTTATACATAACAAAGCATAAGTGGTAAAGCTTCTCATACTTAGGAAAATGTTATCTATTTCAATGGGATCAACCCCACCCAACTTCTCTTTATGCTTTTTGTAAGCTTTTCCAGCAGAAAGAACCCCCCTTTCCTTCTTTTTACACTCTGACTACTCTCTTTTCCTCTCGTGTTTTCATCCCATCGGGTGGGTATCATCTCAGACTCTGCAGGAGCAAGTGGGCTAAGCAGCTGAAGGGGAGGCTTTCCAAGAGCATGCCAGTGTGATGCAGGAATAGCATTTCAGGTGGTAACAGGTCCTGTATGATCGGTCTTCACTTTTGGACGGTCATGCTCCCGGAATTATTCAACATCCTTTGGTTAGGAAGGTTGTAAAATTAATAGGTCTGGAAGGCAACTCTTTCACACTTATGTAAATTGCAGTTCAATATAAAAATGAGGTGAATTGGTGGTAACCATGTAGGGTAGACAAACACAAGAAGCTACTTTCAAAGGAGCTTAAAATCAGACCTGTGATTTATGTGGATGTTTATTAAAACTAATATTGTAATGCAGTACGCTATGAAATCTTTATAAGCAATTCTTTAAGATCAGTTTGAAAAAAAAAAAGCGGTGACTGCAAATTCAAACCATTTCATATCTACTTGTATCTTTCTTAATAAATTAATCTAACCTTGCAGCTTTTATCAGTTCATCAGCAATAAAAATACTACGTCTTAGTTCTAGGAAGGAACAAAGTGCAGCCTGTGCCTGCAGGAATCATTGCATCACCTATTGCTGTTATGGCTACATCTGCAAAACACCTGGAGTGCTCCGGAGCATGCTGACTCTCACCTGTCCTGGGGACACAGTTCCAACTTTCCATTGCCACATCTGTCACATGTAGGCCAGGAGAAAGCAGTGCTCTCATTAACTCCAACAACAGTACCTGCAGAAGACGAAATTCTTACAAAATACTAACGGTAAGCTAGCAAACAGAGTTGCTCCTGGCTTCACAGCAGGTTTGATCCTTTCTGACTCTCAGCTTAAGAATCAGACTCATTGGAGCAAGCATCAGCTCTTCCAACAACCTCAATCCCTTTCTCCTTTGCCCCTCCAACAAGGGACGACAGTATGGCAAAGCGTGACACATTCTAAAAATACCAGAAGGCAGATAATTGATAATTAACTTTCCAAACAGGTTTCAGTTCTTTTGGTTTGGGTTTAATAGTTTTCCTGGGTTTTGTTTGTTTGTTTGTTTTCTTTCTGGTCCTCGGATGTTTCCTTGGCAATAAACAGCTATAAAAATCATCAGGTCAGATAGCTTGATATCGATATTTAGGAAACACAAACCAATGAGAAGACCCAATCCCTTTCAAAAACAACGATGCAGGTTAAATTCCATTAACAATGGACTTATTCTTCATTTGTACTGATTTAACAGAGATTAGATCTGGCCCGCGGATTTAAATGTGTGCCTAAGAAGGAAACGCCAAAGATGCTTTGGACTAGTATAAAGGGCCTTGCTGGTTTTGGCGAGAAAAAAATATATCTCAGAGTTTTATGAGAAGCCAATGAAGAGTGTATTATGGTTTATGGTAACGATATACTGAAATTATCCGCATTATTTATGGAGAAAATACTTCTAAGTATTTTGAGGCATGCTACGTGGATCACCTGGAAGAGTGAAATTACACTAAAATAAACCCTCACTGGTACAACAGAAGTATAGACTAAAAATTCCAGCTCCTGTTGAGCAAGAACCTCACAGTTTTATACCCCATTCAATAAGAGAAACCCTTGGAGACTAGGGAGCATTTACACCGGTCTGTAAGACAGGGCGCTAATCCCTTGCTTTCCTGGTTCTCCTGCGACAGGGACCGACAGGAAGGAGGGAGCTGCACATAAAGAGCAAAACCATAATTTTCTTTGGGAATTCAAAGGACAGCAAGTCTGAAGATCACGAAAGGTGCTTCTCAGATACAACATTTATGACCCAATTTCTATGCATGTAACGAAACAACATGGATTTCGCTGACAGAAGAAGCAATTCTGTGCATTTAACCCCTTGGACTGGAATTACAGTCTTGGAATTGGACCTATTACTTATAACTAGAATTATTACGGGAATAATTTTGATTCTTCAGTTTCTGTGATAAACTGGGAGTTTCCATCAGTGCTTGCTACTACAAGGTAGGATGCTTTCTGCCACAGCATGGGCATGTTTCCCTTCATAGAAAAGAAAAGCTACCAAGTAGTTTGCTGCCTATGTTCCCTTTTTCATTACAAACTCATTTTAAAACCAAACCAAACCAAAATCCCCTTTTCCAACAGATCTGTTTCTCTCTAGGCCTTTTAACTTTCCCCAGTTGTGTGCCATATTGCAACTGCAGGACACCAGTGCACAAGTAATACAGGTACATGTGAAGAAAATGAATGGGGATCACACTGACGAGACTGTGCCTGGTGGAGAGGTTTATTTTGATGACAGCATAAGAGTTCCCTTGAGAAAACCACCAGAGATCACCGAAGTCAGAACACACACAACTAAAGGCGGCAACAGATCTAATAATCTAGTGACAGTCCCGTGCATCCTGCCTGCAAACGTGATTTCTCAAGTTTAAGCCGCTGAACTGCTGCACATCTTTGTCACAGTTTTGCTTGATGTTCACAAACCTTCAGATATTTTCCTGAGATCCTTCTTTTAAATAGCCAATATTTGATTTTTACCTCTGGTCTATCTTTGTGGGTTGTGGCTGACATCATTAAGAAGAGACTGATAATAGGACAGCACCTGGAAAACCAGGTCTCTGGTGAGGAATGCAAAGAAGGGCTGAGGATTAAAAGTAACACTCTGGTTGAAATGTTCAAAAAATAGATGTGGTTTGTTTTTTTTTTTTCCCCGATCAGTTACTTCGATTAATGGACAGGAAGGGGAAAAGTTCAATCAAAAAGAGAAACCTAAGTAAGCTGATTGACCCCGTTTTGTTCACACTGTAATGAGGGAAACTGAAAAAAAAACCCCACCCCTGAGTAAGGGTGTTGGATATGAAAATATCCAATGTCAAAATTCAGTCACTGGCAGTGAGTCATATCCTAGGCAAATATCACTACTCAAGCAATATTCCCACATAACATGTGTGGCATGGACTAACTAGAATTTGCTTGTAAGCATGGTTAGGAGGAAAAACAGTTCTGCGCAGTATGAACTGCCAACACTTAAGTCATCCTGACTGCTCTTATACAGCAAAAAGAGGCCTGAAATTACTCTGCAATGCATAGTGATATGAAAATAAATCTATTAACCCTGAGCTCCCAGGTGAGAACCACAGTCTCATCTTTAAAAGAAGAATAAACTTTACAGTAGAAAGCAACCACAGGTTTTCACTCCTCTGTTGAAAAGCAACAGACTCCAATGCAGAGCTGATGTGACTGGACCGCTCTGAAACAAGGATTTTGGACAAACTTGGTGGATCTGCTTGGATTGCAACATTGTCCTGTTAAAGCTGGGCCAGCTGTAGAGTTGTACCAGGCTGCTCAGGGCCCAGCTTTGAGCAGGAGTTAGGACTGGAGGAACTTCAGAGGTTTCTTTCAACCTAACTTACCCTGTTTATCCACTTTCCAAAAAGTGACCAATCTACCTAGAACCCAGCAGGCAGGATGGCCTGTGCCCTTCCCCAGTCCCGGCACTCCTGGAAGCTCCGACACTGTGACCAGTTGCTGGATCTGTGGATGGGGACGTGAACGACCACCTGCATTTTTCACTGGTTTAAAAAGAAGTTTTTCTCGGGAAGGTCGAGCCCACTGAATCTCGGTAGAGCCATGAGGAGCAGCCATGACTGCAAAGCGGCAGGAAGGAGCGCTGCCTGAAGAAGGGGTAGAGTAAAGCCTTTGCAGCCTTTTTGAGTGTTTGTTAGGTGAGAGGAGGCCCACGTACAGCATATGTAGGTGACCAAATGTACAGGAAGTGAAAGGAGGGCGCAAAGAAAAAGAATGAATGAGGTAATACTGCTTCTCACCGAGAGCCAGGCCAACAACGCTCTGAGTTAAGAGAGAGGGAGTGAATCTTTGTGATGATAATCTTTCCTCGATGGGTTACTCCATCAAATACATATGCTCCCACCAACAAAGCAGGGTCAGTGCTATTAGTATCACTTCTTCAGTAGAAAGATATAGGCAATAACTAACTGGATTCCAAAACACTGGGTATTTTAAGTGCTAAAATTAAATTATTTTAGTTACACATAAAAGTGAGAGTTATCATCTCTATATAGCATTAGCATAGGTACAAAGAAGACACTTTACATTCGACTTTGGTACAAATGTGTGGGAACATAACAGCTACCCTGGACGAATTTCAGATGAAGCAAGACAAGGCTGTAGGATTAGTTTCTCCTTTTGTCATTCTTCCATCTGTAATACAGAGCTGGCAAAGCGTGACACCTCCCATGTGTGTAAAGCAAGTGCTCGTTTACACAACAGATCACAAAGGTGCATTTTCTTTGTTCTACTGGAAAAGGAAAGGGCAGAGAAATGTTTGCTTTATCCTGCTATGTAGACTGTCAGTGGGACAAAAGAAGACAGGCACTTCTCATACTTAGTTGTAAAATTAAGAGTGGAGAAGTGATAATTCTTAGCCTAACTACTGGAGAGGTTAAAAAAACCCAAAAGCCCAAAAATATTTCACACCCAGTGACAAAAATATCTTTCAAGTAACACGCAATATTGATGCGAGAGGTACGTAACAACCATAGCTTTGAGCGAAGTGCCTCTAGTTGTGCTTGATTTTCCTTGCTAAGAGTTCAAGATTGGTCCCTGCAAGGTGCTCGTTTATTCATCACAGGGGCACTGCGAACTTGTGGCTCTACCGTACGAGGAGGTATGCTTGGTAACAGCTTCGCGTGGCTTCAGGCTGTCTTTTCAGGGCGTCACGTTATAGCTGGAAGGATTAATTTGTGACCATTATTTGCTATCATTTTAAAGCTCATTTAAAATGCTCCAGTGAATACTTGGAGGTGTAAAGGTATAACAGTATCAAGAATTTTCTACATGGGCTACTGGAATCATTAAGAGCTATTTAAGAAAGGAAACTGTCTTTAAAAGGGAAGAGTTCTTGGGCTTTTGAGGACTTTTCCCTATAGGCAGTCTACAGCTAGGAGGTTTAAGAAGCTGACTGGACAAAGCATTAGAAAATACACAGTAGGAAATGTTTCTGCATGATTAGGAAATGTTAGAAAATACCTTGTAAGAAATGGTTCTGCATGGTTAGTGGTAGGACTGAAATATTAGACAAAGCAATGATCCGAAGTGGCTGCTGAGCAAATATTGGCCAGGTTATGCTAGATGAGTATGGCGAAAGAGTAAATTGGCCCATTGCAGCGAAGTTCCAGGGAAATCAGGCACTAACCCCTACCATTCAGGATCTGGCTAACATTTCTTATCCATCTGCCTAAAAAATATTGGTATACCTTACTGTTGCCAACATCAACAAGGCTGGTGTGAACAGAAGGCTCTTGAAATAAGATGGTGAAGGAAGAAACGTAATAAAACAAATTGTGCATCAAACATTTATTCTGGGGTATGAGTGAGTGGGAGCAGAGCTTGGCCAGCAAAAGGCAAACAGAGCCCACAGAAGTATAAAAACTTAAATATCCTAATGACCTACAGCAACACTGTGCTTTTTTATCCCTCCATGCGGTTTGTGCAAGAAATCAATACGAGGACCTGAAAGATTAAAGCGAGCACAAATAATTAACAGCATTCATTTCAGGAAAGGCCATACAAACCTCTTACAGCACAAATGGAGTTGGTCTGTGTTGCAGAATCCAGCTCATCGAGTCTGACAGGGCCAGTCAGCTCACTGAGGTCAGCACCGGCAGCCGAGTACAAAAGAGGCTTTTGTAATAAGAGAACAGTACGTTCAACACAAATAATCCTACCTGCCAACAAAGACATTTCAACTTAGTACAGTAACAAGGAAAAAGGTGACCACGTTAATTGTCATGGCCAATAAAGACAACGATCTCTGCCAGCTACTAAACAGATGGATAGACTCCATCAGGTTTTCTCAATGACAAAATATTTTGCTTTCAGCGATACATGCATCACACTCTCGTTACACTTTGCGACTCCCAGGGAAAAAAGATGTTTTAAAAATTTGAACGCAGCACAAGAGAGTCTGATTCCACTCTGACTGCATCACGTCACACTCCCTGCAAACACAACGTTACTGTCTATTCCCTGGTAATAAGCTTGGGCACTCCTTCAGGTGGTCTCACGCTGTTTCAAAGACTATAAAGAGTAGATGCATGCAATGCTTTATTCTCCAAAGCGAGGATTTTTGCTTTGGGACACACAGCCATTGACATAGGTTGGTGCTTCCAGTCCACTTACATTTGGGAAGTGACTAAAGGCATGAGATGTGAACTACACGTGCAGGCACCATACAGAACCATACCTGAACCTCAAAAAGGAGCAACTAAAAATGAATGTAAAGTGAACTACCATCATTACATGAGCTGTATGGTGGCGAAGGCTCATGCCTAAGATGGTATAGGACAGTTAGAAAATTTCTGTATCTAGGGACACACATCTCTAGATTCACCCTCCTGCTCCTTTTAGAGGTAGTTAAGGTCAATAAAACAAGTTTCTGCAAGAATATCAAAACAAATAAAACCAAGTTTCTTAGTATTTTTGAGTCTTCTATCAGCTAGCAAATTTGATTTACACTGGTCATTAGATTCAACAGCCATCAGGGAAGACTGACAGAAATATTGGTGGACATACAGCAAGGTCACCGAATTTCTCATTTACTTTGGAGATCAAGCCAAAAATGTAAATACGAAACCTATGGGAAAGCTCTAATTACAACCCCTTTCAACTTTCTCATCCCAAACTTGCAGTGTCTCATCTTCACCTGAGAATGAAAGTCTCTGTATGCCACGTATTGAGGTGTCAGGGATTAGGATGCTATTTCAGTTTGATTCCAACTGCTTCAAAACCACGCGTCAAGCTTACCATTTCCCCACAGTGCATCCTTGAAGAAGACGAGTTGCGAGGCAACGCTGAGGGCTTCTGTGATTTCCCTACTGAGAACACACGATGCAGCGACTGACACAGCAACAACTTTTGGAATTATATGAACCACATTTTGCAATGTGGAGTCAGTCACAAACAACCAAATCTCTCTTTGATTTATAGGAACACTGTTTTTTGTCTATTATTTAAAAAAAAAAAAAAAAAAAAGACACAATTTGGAATGCAGTTGTTAATTTTTAGTAGAATGAAAGACTAAAATAACAACCTCATATTTAAATAACTAATAAAACTGACAGAAATGATTACATTTAAGGTTTGTACAGGACAATGAATCAAAGCTTTATTGGAATTTTTCATTATACCTTACTGCAGATACAAACATCTCTACCTTAAATTAACTTTCCGAGGTTGCCTTACTGGAATCTTGGCTTTACCTCTATCAACTATCATGCCTTACTGTAACTCCCCTGGACTGTACTAGGGATTTGAAAAATTCTTTGACATTAAAAAATTATATCATATATATACTTACATATACACAAAGTTAATTGGCTGTTTTTAAGAACAAAGACTTATATAATTTTTGCCTTAAAAAAAGAAAGGCTAACACTACTACTTCTGTTATTCCTGTGTGAGCAAATTTTCCATGTACTGTTATCTGATTCCCAAGAGCACCAGTCCTTGGCTAATCGTTACTGTAAGCCTCAAAGACGGGGGTTTTTCTTTCTGTTGAACAAACATCTCTAAATACTTGAATGAAGCATAGTAAAAGGAAAGTAGATAAATCATAAGAAACATAGGAATCTGCAATGACAATATAAGTTTTCTGCCTAAGAAAACTACTCTGGTGTGCCTAAATTAAGGCATATCATAACTATGGATGTCACAAAGAAAATGCCTACGCTTCATCTCAGGCTTCACCTCTGAAAGTAATTATCACAAAATCGGTAGAGTTTTAAAAATTTTTCACACTGGGATGATGAACAGGACAGACGAGACAGACATTATATACACATCAGTGCTTATTCCAGGGTCTCTAACAAAATCAGATGGGTTACAATTTGACAAGTCATGCTTTCCTTTTTTTTTAAACACAACTTTTATTACATCTGTTTGTGTATGTAAATCTTCCCATGCTTTAGAAAGAATGGGTTTAGCAACAAAGCGTATTTCACATTTACCAGTCCAAGCAACTGGCAATTTTTAAGATTCTAATATTTTAAAACATTTAACTGAAATTAAATTACTTTCTTTATTTAAAATTTTGTTGGCTATTATTTTTAATTAGTCTGCCAATTAAAAATTCTTACTTAAAACACTGAAATGAAATTAACATACTGCAATGACTGGAGAGACGCATATCACGCAAGTATTTTATTCTCAGAAAGTTGCATGTCTCTAGCATAAAGTAATGCAACGAGAACCCCAACTTTTTGTCTTCAGTTGAATTCAAACCTTGAAACCGTTAACCACACTAAAATTAGCTTTTTGTTCATGCTAGCAGCTCTTAGAACAAACACGGTCATTGCAAATAACGACTGGGAAAATTCGTAACTCCGATTTTAGGGTTATGCCCTAACGCAATGTATGCTGCCTATTGCACTGACATCCGTTTCTTTGCCTAGTAACTACATATATTTGAGTACCTCCTCTGCGTAGATAGCATTAGGACAGCTTCAAAGAAAGAATTTTTACAGCTGTCCCATGAGAACTACTAACACATTAAAAGCTGGCTTTCAGAAGAATCATCCAAAAAGTAAATAATAATAACAGCAAAAATCACAAGTTAGTATAAAATCATCATCTAGCTATGTGTGACAATTTGTTCTGAACAGAGAGGACAGAACAGACTAATAGCAGCAGGATTGAGTTATAAGGAAGGACAGCTCCTTAACCACAGATGGAATATATTTCCTCATATTCCTTCTGTACCACAGTACAGATTCTGAGTAATAATAAAAGCATATTTCCATTCCTCCTTCACACAAATGAAGTATCTCAGAATACTGTAGCTACATAGAAGTACTACTATTTTTAAAGCACATTTGAATTAGCTCACGTAGCAGATTATCTAACAATAACAGAGCTGCAAACCAAACCAAATCATAGTCCCTTCCACACTTATTAGAGCTCGATGATTTTGCATGTGCAGGATATGTCCTCTTGGCAAAGGCAACTGCCGTAAACAAGCTGCTGTTCGTGACCTTCTGGGAGGTTTAGGCAAGCAAAATACTAACAGCAGGTAAATACCTTTACATTCCTAGAGCAGTTATCCAAAAGCTACGCGGAAGAAGAATATCTGCTATTGCTTTTCCAACATTACTTCCAAAAAATTTATGAGCACTCACGTTGTTCACTTAGAAAAATTTAGTGCTTACAGTTCAGTAAGTGAATAGCCGTTAAAAAACAGCTAATAAGCCTCCTAGTAGCAAGAAGAAAATCATAGGCCTTTTTTCCTGCTAGACAAGCTTCCATTCTTCAAAATCACATCTGTTCCTGCATGCTTCATTTTTTCTCTAATTTAGTGATGAAGTGCTTCTACACAAGACTACTGATGACCCACAGCATCTCAGATGTAGACATTCCTGAATACAAAAATGTTTGGCTAGGATACCACTAGTCTGTAATTTTATTTTATTTTTTAATAGAACAGGTTTCTCAGAAATAGAAGTCCATGCATGTATGTGTCCATCTTTCTGTTAACATACGAAAAATCCCATCAAGCTGGCCCTAACTTCACGTTTGCAAATGCTCTGTTAAATTAGCACTTAGCATGGAGAAAACACGAGAGATACCCCTCATCTCAGGATTTAAAAGTACTCTCCACCTAAAAATCAAATCATAACTCATTGGCTTTTGAAGCAAAAGGGCAAGACCTAAATTGAATTTATGTCTCACACTGGCGGGAAGCATCTCCAGCTATTTTGCTGGCCGTTCTGGAATTTCTTTGTCTTTGGTTCATATGCTTTGATTCACACTTTGTTTCTTGTGAAGCTGATGGACAACTGCAAATTCTTCTCCACCAGAATTCAGTGCTGGCTGTACTGAGGATCCAGTCGCCAGGAAAAAAAAATAAATCAGCAACAAAAAATTCTTTTAACTACTGAGGGAATTAGCAACATTTTGAAAGAAAAGTGTAGTGTCATTCAGAAAGAAATAAATAAAACATAATTATAAGCTTTCCAACACAGTATGGATGGCAGATGTATTTACCTAAGAGTTCCTCCTTTCTACTAACTGGACCATAAAAGCCAAATTTGCCTGAGGGCCTTCTATTGAAGTCAACAAAAATAGTCCACACACTTGCATGCAAAGAGCAAAACTGTATTTTTATATAACCATCATCTGTTAAATTCTATCCCCAGACACTCAACTGACTGGGAACTTTTCAGTATGTACCTAAGGATAGTGTTTAGCTGTAAACCGAGTCTCAATGAACTTCCTGCAAGGTCCCTTACCAGGGTGAAATACTACTTCGGGTTAAATAGCAATTTATTCACAAATAATTCACTTTCTAGACTGGATGTATTGAAACTGGAGACACAGTTCATTCTACCCATTCACAAGCATTTTAGACCTGGTTATAATTCTGCTCATACAACTCTCTAAGACAAAGCAGGAAGGTTTAGGGTTTTCCCCTAAACAAGATAAATGCTGGCTTCTTCACATAAACATTATGTTGATTTTATGTTGAATTTATTGCTAAGTGAAAAGATTACCTGCAGCCTTAGATACAGCACTTGCGCCCAAAAGCTACAACGTTCATTACAACCATTGATCTGAAAACAGTACAAAACCAGAGAATGAGACAAACATGACACCAGAAATCCAGTGGTACAAAGTATTTGTTATCTGACTTGTAAAGCAGATTACCTGAAGAATTTCCTTTAGACCACGAACAGCTGGTGGCTGGTACAAATTAGAAATCTGTTCTTCCTCATCCACTTCCACATGTATTTCACCAGACTGAACAGTAAGAATATAACAGAAGCTGGGAGGAGGAAGATTAGTTGTCATCTATTAAAAAATAAGGAAAAGAAATGTGACCTTAAAAGAGGCACTTTAATTTGCCTAGTCGGGTTTTATAATACTAGCCAAAACGAACCACGCAATTTACATTTTAAGAGGGATGGGAAAACAAAATTATATGGTTAATAACAACGACTCTCTGAAGTAGAAGTTGAGTGAATAACCCGACATTCACAAGTGAAATCAGCTTGTGTGTATCATTCTTTCCATTATCTGACATTGATTCTCACCACAAAAACATCTTATGATTTGGCACACTTGGCAAACACTTCGACTATTTCAAGGTGCTTGTTCTTGGTTTTGCTTTTTTTCTTTATTATGTGGTAGGAGTGCCCTGATTATTCTTTTTTTTTTTCTTTTTTCACCATCCCTAACTTTTGTGAGATTTGGGGACTTTTGCATGTGGGTGGGTTTTTGTGATAGTAAACAGCTGACAAATTTTTAAAGCTGCCAAATTAAATCCAGGGCAGCACAAGGAGATAATGAAGAACAGGAATGCAACAGCTACAAGAACTGCTCTCTTTGTGTTATGCCGGATTTTTCTTGCCCCCTTAAAAAGTACCGTGACGTAACGACTTTATCAATCACCACTTAAAGAGGTCCCAAACTAGAAAGGCTTCTCTGGAAAAAAAGGACAACGCTAGAAAATAATTTTTATTGCGGATATGGTAAAATAATTCTTCTAGTGATGTTTGTTGTTAATAAAGCATTTTGTTTAATAAAAGAAATATGAATCTATTAAAGACAGCTGCCTACCCATGAAAAAAATCTGCATAAGGCAAAAAAAAAAGCAAAAGACATCAACTCAAATGCTCTTTGCCTCTGACAGCAGTAAAGAAGGTATTTGAAAGTCATATGGCTCAAATGAAATCAGTTCCAGAGATCTCTTCACAACAATATCATCAGCGCCCTGGCAGTATTATTTATGCACCTATGCATAAAACTGCTTCCATAAAACTGCGTGAAACAATACAGTTTGTATCAAGAAAAATGTATCCCAACTGAAAAAACTCCACTCAGCCAAAAACCTGCAGCAGGAGAATGCAAGGCTTGATCCTCTGTGGAATGAATTAGTATTTCAAACCCATGACAGAAGTGTAAATTACATGATTATGGAAAGTTTCCTTCATTTTTACATTGCTAATAAAAAAGAGAAAATGAAGAAAAAATGAGAGTCACAACAATGCTAAACAACATTTAAGAGCTTTGCTCCATCCATGGATATTCCCATTCTGTTGTCCACAGTATTTTAACGCACAAAACAATCAATTCCTCTGAGACTTCCAAAATGTCTAGATGAAAGGGAGAGGCAAGGAGAGAACACCTGTTTCACACAATTTCAATCGTGGTTTTATACATAGCCAAGGTCTGAACTTTTTATTCTTCAACATAAACCCCTGCACAATGCAAAGAACACTCCACATTGCAGAGGAAAGATTCCCAGACTTTAGCAATAACTAGTAATAGCCACCTTTAATGTCCCCTGGGTTTGAAACTTGTTTATTTCCAGCTTTTTCTTCTTTTCTAGAATTTGCATCCCAATTGACTCCCCTAGGCTCCAACACCATTTTTTAATACCACAAACGTCTTCCCCAAAGAACAGCTGTACAAGAACAGCAGGACAGCACAAGCACTTGGTTACCCAGAAGCTTCTCAAATGATCTCGTATTACCAAAGTGACACCTGATATGACAGAACTCCTTTTCAAATACATAAGCAAATTAAGGGAAAATTAAAGACGCAATTTTACATTTGTAAGCGTATAGTAACATACTTTAAATCCATTTTAATACCTCCCCACCCCCTAAAATCACAGAAATATTCATTACTTCTTAGGAGATTAATTTTGTCTTCACATGAGACAAATACCAGTCAAAATCATCCTAACTAGTAAGAGACCCGATTTCAGCAGTCTGTTCTCACAGAAGTTAATCTTCAGAAAAGTGCTTTCGAATCTAAGGCTGAAAAGGGCTTCAAAGAATGAGTTAATAACCTTGTATATAGATTTCTCAGCTGGCTCCATGCTATCTAATGTCTGTTTCCTCTTCCAAGGAGAGGAGTAATTTGTCTGGACATCCTATCATTCTAGCTCTAGAGGATTAACAAGGGGCTAACTGCATCATTTTGGAAAGATGCAGCTGATCCAAAGGGCTTTAGGTTAGCCTAGGAGGTTGCCAGAACCAGTAAAACAAAACTCAGTAGCTAAAGAGAGGGAGAGAATCTGATTCCCAAAGTAAACAAGATTACACTACCAACAAAAATAGTAGTTGTGAGTGAAAAAATACATTTCCATAATAACAAGACTTACCATTTCAGAGTCTTGACTTTGCCCAGGAACTTTTACAGGCACTACTGGAGGCCACAGACTGTCTATCAGGCTAAAAAGTCCTAATGCCCTTCAAAAAGACCAATAAAATCAGGTTTAAAATGTTTTCCAGTGTTATATTAAAAAGAGTCGTTATGAAACATAATTCAAACCATTGCATGATTATGAAAACAATTTTAAATCATATTTATTTTCTGGAAGCCGGCTTTGATTTGGTCTAATTAAATCTCCATCATTGCTGCAGGGCGGAGAGGGAGGGAAGGGATGTATCACATTCAGTGACAAGCAAGTCATATTTAATCCTTTGCCAGGAACAGTCTGCTACATGATGAAATTCAGGGAAACTGGGGGAAATGCTAGCTTGGGAAGGACACAGGTACCAGTTCAACTTCTTTTAAAAAAATAGCTTTTAACTGTTTTAACTGATAGATTTAAAAAAAAAAAAAACAAATCAGAAGTTTTGCGCTTCTAATATTTTCATTTCTTGCTTTTTCTCCAACAGCTGATCGTAACTGCTTTCAGGAAAGTCGGCAATTATCAGACACAGAGAAACAGGCAAGATTTTGTTATCTTCAGTACATGTGCAGAGGATGGGTCTCCTTCCTAGGCAGCTGCTCATTTAATTATGGTTTTTATTTGTTTATCTTGCAGGTTTCCCACTTTTAATTTAGAAACAAACATAAAATTAACAGCCCAGCATATTAAGGTAAAATGCTGCAGGCTCTTTCGCTTCAGCATGCAAAGCTGCACAGTGGCTGCCTTCTCAGTTGATGCGGCATCCTTGCAGGACGGGCAGGAACATCCGAGGGAGAGGCCAAGAAACCAGCTGAGGGAGGGGAAATAGCTACAGATAACCAACTTGAAGAGGCATGCATTTTTGAGTTAAAGCTCTGTTATCTTGTCCTAGTTCACTGTTCTGTGTAGTCAAAGCACAGAGATCTGGATTTGAATCCCACACTGCCTCCAAGAACAAGTTGTCTGTTCCTCCAGTTAAGAACGGCACTATTCCTGAAACAGCTCTAGAAAATGAAGTCCCAAACTTGCTAAAAATAATATTGGCTTCTGAACTCAACTGTTTACAAGAAGGAAAAGGCATACGCTGGTGCAGAGCTGAAGCACGTTGCAATATGCTGTTTGTCTTCAAGGGGTCACGGAAACTCTGCTTTAAAGTTCTGCTTTTAGCTCACTTCTGCTTAAGCTTATTTAATTCTGTACTTCCCTAGTCCTTTTCCAGATCCTTAAGTGCTTAGACTTCATGTGTCTATAGGCAGTGAATTTCTTCCCGTGTTTTTTCTTAAAGTGCCAAGTATCACCTATGATTCGGTGTTAACAGTGAAGCCTTTGGACCACCACTGTAAGAAGTTTTATGAATGTAAATCTCAGACTGGATCTTGTGAAATAAAGCTTGTGGTTCACAATTCGGGTAACAAGCTGGGAGATTAAAGAGATGATGTTGCTCTCTGTAGTCGTGTTCTCCACGCTGATGAACAGACCAGAAACACAAATGTGCTGCTCTTTTACAGAAATGAACTTCCTGACTTAGAGGGCATCATCGCTGAGTCTGTAAAAGAAGGCTGAGCTCAGAGGACAGGTTTTTTTGTGTTTGTTTTTTTTTTTTTTTTAACAGTGAGAACATTGCAACATAGAAAGCAACGCTTCAGTTGACCACTTCTTGAATCCCCAATCAGGGCAGCATTTTCTGTCCTGTATCATACAGAATGACATCCTCTCTGCAGTCACAGGAGGGCCAATGCCCAGTGGAACGAACTGGACTTGCTAACTGGGACATGGAAAAGGAGAGTTACAAAAAGCGAGCATAGCCTTCTGTACAACTCGGGCAGTTACACGAGTGGCCTTCCCCACACGACACGCAGCACGAGGGCAAGGGCAGAGCACAGGTATGAACACACCGCAAACTGCCTGTGTGTGTGGCTGGGGGTGTGTGCGTGCAGAGATCACGTATTCATCAGCTTAGAGCAAATAAGCTACGCTGTGGCAGTGCAGGTATAATCACATCTCCACGCAGACTGTACATTGATCCCTCATCTGTATTTTTAAATTTGCACAGGGGACACAAAGCTGTCCCTTATTCTTTAGCTCTTTTCCAGCTTGTCACCCCAGATCAGAATATCTAAGACATAGAGTACATTTTCTTCAATTACTTGTGTCTTTTTGGAGAAGATCATCTACTGCTTGAACTAGGAGCACTTAATTATTAGTAAATGACAGTATTCGTTACAAACAGGCAGAGGAGCAGTGTTGTGTAGAGAGTGTCTCCTGAACATCTTAGCCCCATCCTTTTCTTTGACACCAGCCAGGCCAATGGCAGGGACATTTGCCACCAGAAGGATTTGCAAGTTCCAAATCACACCCTGCCGGGATCCTTCTCTACCAAAGGGGATTTTCTTTTCTGGAGCTGCCACTGATTCACCAGGGACTGTATCAGTCAGTGTCCCAGGTGAGGAGCTCCCCGCTTGCTCTACCCATTTATATGCCTCCGAGAAAGTTAACTCTCTCTTTACACTTACGGACTTCGACTTAGCAGAAGGGGGAATGAGGTGGGGGCAACGACAGAGGAGAAATGGCAAGACATTGTGTTGCCTCTGTAGAAAATCACTATCCTTACAGAAAGAATAAAATTCATTCTCTCTATTGGCCAAGCAACACTGAAATCCCACTTCAATCTGACTTGAACAAGGGGTGTATTTTACCCAATACGTGTATCCTCCTTCAGCTACCGAGTCAGGACAAGAGATGAACAGCTGGCTCTGTGCTACCATGAAGGGACATGGTTAGCCCCCATGTGCACAAAGAGCCTTTCTGGCTACAAATGACAAAATAAGAACTTTTAATTTTTGCTCTGTGAGTGTAATTACTAGTCACTATTTATAAAAAAAAAAAAAAAATTGATTGCAAAAGGACAGACTTAAAAAAGGAAAAGTACAGCAATAAATGAGAAGAAACAGGCTCAGGGATAAAAAAAAAGAACATGTAAAGTATTTTCAGCAACATTTTTTTATTTCAGAGACAAGGACTCTAGTGTAATATTCTGTAACTTTTCAAAAAAAAAAAAAAGACTGAATCCATACCGGGAGGACAGAGATAATCTATCAGATTCTAAATGACAGACTTAACCCCCTACTTCCTATGCTAAACCGAAATCTATGTTTGGTAAAAATTGTTTTGTCCCATACTAAACATGCAGATGTCAACTGATTTATCACCAACATAGCAAGGCCACCACTAACTCTGATGGAGCATATACTATAGACTTCCATAGAAGTTCGGACTTACAACAGGCAGTCCTCTACATACAGGTGCTCTTCTCTTCTGTAAACCCCCATCTTCAAGCTTCATTTATATATAATGATACTTTGTATGTGTGTGTGTGTATATACATACCACAGGCATATGTGTATATATATAACATGCAAAATAATTCTTTTTAGTATCCTTAATTATTTTTTTAACCAATGCACCCAAAGGCATCCCTCTCAAATTTTGCTTGCTGAACCTTGGTACATCTTTTCTGTGTGTCCATAAATGCAAACTGCCTGCTGTGTACCCAGACAGCAGTCAGAGAATTTTAAAGATTTCATACTCTTAAACAGGCTAAACACATGGCTGAGAAAATGCAAAATACACATGCAGCATGTGCAGAAATTAATCCTAACCTATTTAACAAATCATCTTAAGCTACTCCATAGAAAAATAACTGGAAGATAGCGAGTGATACTAATAAAATAGCATTTACTTCTCCGTCCCCACAATTCTCGCCACAGGTGATGACTGTGCTACCCTGTACAGAAGCAGCTGCTTTCATTTGCTCACCTAACAACTTCTCAGTTTCACAGGCTCAGCGGGAGACAGAAGTCACCTTCTGCTTCTAGCCTTGCCGGCTTGTTTAGCCCTTCACTGCGAAGTCAAATGGCATACGTTCGTATGTGCACACAGGCATATAAATGTTTGTTCTATGATTTTTGATAAAAACATACAAATTACAGATAAAAGCCACTGTGATTATATTTAGACCCGGTAAAGTGATAATGCAGTATCTACAGTCTCAGTACATCTACTCTGATCCTAGAGAAATTTCATTCCTTTCACACCACAAGCTATAGCCATACTAACAAAATCAAACTACTTCAAATTTTGTTTTTTCAAAACTGTATTTCACTGACTCTGATCTGACAACTTATTTCATAACTTACTACAAAGATTTTGTTTCTTTCTCTCACAAGCATGAAGTTTCATCTACAGTTCTGGTCCAACAGCTTTGTGTGTGACATGCCTGATTCAACTTTTTAACATTACAGCTTACAGTTTGGGGGATTTCTCAATTTTAATAATCACACCACAGGTTCAAGGGAAAACTACTACAGGGAGAAAATATCAGCAATATCAAAGAAAGTAGAAGGAAGAAAATACCTGTAACTAAGAAAAGAAGAAAGACTACGTAAGGTGTACAGTAGGGGACAGGAAGAAAGATGCTAGGATTCTCCTCCAACGTCTTCCACAGCTTTGCTCTGGGGACTCAAGACTTGGCATTTCTCTGTTTCCTCCTCTCCCAGTCTCCCAATTTTAGTCTAAAATAAAACAGTTTTCTTTTGGCAGTATCAGCCTCAATTATTAAGAAATCAAAACCAAAGCAATCCCTAGCCCTCTGTGAAATATCTCCTTGCTCAAGACTAAAAAGCAGTTAGTAATAATCACCTAGACTGCATAAGCTTCAACTGTCACAAGACAAGCTGATGTTCACAAATATGAAGCTGATGCTGTAGGCTAGCTCTCCCTTTAACTGACCTATTATGATCTTGCAGTGCACAAGCTATGCAACACCGTATTTTCTCAGACTTAAGTAATAAAGCAACAAAATCATAAAATAAAAATCTGAGCCTACTAAACCATCATCTCAGTCGAAATACAAAGAGAGAAGAAGGGTTGCTGACTTTTTTTCCCTAAGTTTTGTTTAGATATATGAAATTACTTTGTTGAATCGTTTATTCACATACTTCAATAACTCAATTTTCTGTAGTACATTAGAAACTACATATACTACATTAAAACACTGAAATAATAATATAAAAGTACTTTTAGTTCAATATGGATATGCCTATGTTATTCTCCAATGCTGGTTACTAAACAGATTCATGACAGAGGCACTAAAGATACAAGCAGCAGTCCATGCTTGTTAAAGAGAAGAAAACTCAGAGAAAAAAGTTAATTTCTGATACATTAGCAGTCATTAAAAAGAATTTAAAAGTAATGCAAATATTCAAAATTTCAATGCGATTACTTCAATTATGCTTTAAAGGTAACTCAACTTTTAACCACTGCAGTTACCGAAGCGTTTCAGGACCTCAAAACCTCAGAGACGTGGGTGGCTCTTTCAGATGGCAGTCTTTTTGGAGGAGGGAAAACCAAAGGAAGGAAGTTATGACTTCCTTGCTCTGCAGAGTGTTCTTACTATTACATTTCCTGTCAATGTCTAGCAGCTGAAACACTTTCTTCTACAGCAGTTGGCGGTGGTCCTCTCTTCTGAGTGTAAAGCAAAAGGAAGAGAAAGTATATGGTGAAGAGTAGAGGGAAAAGGGGAGAGAGAGGCCAGAGAAGTATAGGACTTAAATAAAAAGTAAAAAAAAATAAGAAAGAAAACCCTCGGGCACAATAGTGACCAACACTACAGACAAACACAGGAAGATTTCGCGTTTCAGTGCCTACCATTTGAAAGTTTAAAATGACAAACAACAGAAGACAACTTCATTTGAAAATACAGAATTTTCTCAGAGAAACATACCACTGGTTGATGAACTCAATATTCAGAGTCTACTTACTTTAGAGGAAAATGCAAAAGATAGTACAACCTGCCACGAATTAAAGGTTGGGTCAAGTGCCAAAGTTCATGAGTTGATGTATCCTTCAAAGCATTTTACCCTACCCAACTTAAGTGTGGATTTTAGCACTATCCATGCAACAGTTGCGTCTTATTTTCAAACTTGTTAAGCATTTTTTCAATTTGGAGACAAAATTGGTGCTGACGTCCTGCATTAATTATATATTACATTAAAGCATTTCTTCCCCCCCCATTTTTAAATTGGTGTCATCTTTCTGTTCTGCTGAATGGAAACTCTTCATCTTTCAACGCTGTACAAAAGCATAAAGAGAAGAAGCAGGATATACTCTGCAGCAAACTCAGTGCTTGGCAAAACAGGTGAAAAGACATGAATTGTCAAAATCCAAATTTTCTCTGTGTGGAACTCCAGTCAGGGTTAAAAACATAAAATTAATATTTTTGACGATAAAGACAGATATCTAACTACAAAGTTTATCCCAGCTCATTGAAATCAATTTCTGGTAGGAAGCAGCAGCCTATGACAATTTATAGGTTATTTATACCTGAGGCATTTTAGTGAGTGCTTGGTCCCTGCATCTAACTGCATCCATTTAGTTACTAGTTATTCCAGACACACCTGAAACATGCCTGGGATCCATTAAAATAGAGGGGTAACATGTTACTTGTACTGCATACAGATTCTTAACCAAAATTCCTGCCTCTAGCAGTACACTGTCAAAATCTGACTTCCTCTTTCTCAAGGGGCTGAATTTATAAGACTGACATATGAGGTAGTGAGAGGACAAGAGAGAACATACACCTGTAAGGAGCCAACACCACCAGCGGCAGATCAATGAACATTTTTCAGACTTCTCTCTTTAAACCACCATATCTTTCTTTTCTGCTGATACTAAGCATGCAGTTCAGGGAACAGTTGTAGGAAAGGCTAGGAGACAGGTATGAATTAGAGGGTGAAGAGAAAAGGTGTCAAGAAACACTGAACCACATACGTGATGTTAATTCATCTGCTACAGTACTGGTTCCTACCTTATTCAACAGCCTCATGAACAGTACTAGAAGAACTGCTGGAAATAAGACACCGAACAAGCCATGGCAACTTTGCCATGACTCAGCCATGCCCATCTGTCTGACACGATTGCCAGAAATTGGACTGCAAAGGGAAACACCACTTCCTCCACTGGACTACAAAGGGAAGGATTTCTTGCAGGGATGTTTCTGGGGAGTATGTTTTATGTGGGGTATGGGACTTGTTCTGAAAACCCACCTAAATCAATGAAAGACCTTCAGATGACCGAGTATGAGAGCCTAGTACTTGTTAAAGCATATGGGTATTCAAAACTAATATTCAACATTAACAGAGTTTCTCTCAATGTAAGATAAATGTAATTCTAATTTTTCACAGGGTTGATCTTGGTGATCAGGACACGGTCGTGAAGTTCCTGTCCCACTTTTCTTTTGGAACACAAGTCATTTCTTATCAGGAGAAGAAATGGGTTTAGTTTCTTCAGCACATCTTACAGCATATGTCCATTCCAAAAATCAAGTCAGGTTTACAGCCAGGTTTTCGCCTGGATGTAAAATACCCTTTATTACAGCTTTTTAGTCTTTGAAATGCAACTTCAGCTTACAACGGTGATTTTAAATTTGATTTTAAAATTTAAAATACTGGAATGATGTTAAATAATACTTTCAGTTAAATACTTGATGACGAAGATGGATGATGGCCTGGAAATTTTTTTTAACAGTAACAGTGGTCCATTGATGCAAAAAGCTTGAGAACCCCTTGTATCTGCTAAATGAAAATCTCCTCTGTCTCCCGGAGGGACTGAGGAAGCACTCTGTCTCTATAAGAGAGATTACAATCCGTGTGACTGCAGGACAACATGCACGTTGGGATCTTATTAGCCATTCCTGGCTTTCTCCAGATCATGTGCTTCAAAGGCACAAAAAAAAAAATTAATGATTTTTCCCTCGTATTTCCTACATTTTATTCCCTTTTATCCATTTTAAGAGCCACTGTCAGACTTCAGGAAACAAAACAGTTTAAAAACCATCTCCTTCCAAAAAGTAATTGGCATTCTCAAAAAAAAAAAAAGGCAGCAGTTTTTCTTGCAGGGCAGACCATGTAGTTCTTATTCACTCATGCGCTGCAAGCCAAGGTTGGGCACTCACAGGCATATCCTATCATGTGCTCAGATATACCACTGGCTCTGGAAACCCATTTATCCAGTGGCAATGAATTCTACAGTCTAATTATGCTCTGTGCGAATAAGTACTCCCTCATATTCATTTCAGCTACGGCTTTACTGTGGTTTCCATCACACCTAGAATGACACAAAACGTGTCCCAACACTTAAAAGTAATAACAAGCTATAAAGCAGAAACTTAGGCTAAAACAATTAAGAAAAAAGTAAATCCCTGAACAATTCCCCCACCCACCCATCTTGTACAATGAAATCACGTTTTAACCACTGCACTGTCCCTGAAGCTACGCTAGCCTTTTTCTTCTAATGTTTCCTAGCAGGGTTACCACCAGCACAGCTCCAGCTGAGCCACCAGCATGTCAGCAGTGTGTCTTCTAATCATCCTCAGAATAGCCAGAAGTAAGTTACTGCTGCTTTGAAGCACAATTTACATTAGAAGAAGTCTGTCTCTTATTAGCTAGGCAGAGTACTGGAAACACCAGCAGCCAGTTGTAAAACTTCATTTGTATCCAGAATTCCAACGCCATTATTTAATTTGTTTGGAAAAAATGTAACTTGAAAAAAAAGCCAACAAAATAATTAAATAAGAAGACGTGTTTGTTATTAAAGATCCATAAAAATGCAAGTAGGCTTGAAATCCAAAGGATCTGAAAATTAACACTGCAAGTACATAAAAAGAAAAGCATACTGAATAGTGCTGGCTGGAAAACAACAATTCCATTTTGCTAAACATTTCAAGGCTTTGAAATTTGTTTTTGTTCCAATATGAAACAAAAATGAGACTTTCTGAAAGTTTTCATGAAATGAGAATGAGAGAGAGAGAGTATTCACTCCCTCTGGACCTGAAAAAATCTTCCCAACAAATTGTCTCCAAAATAGATTATGTTTCCATGAAACATTCTGGTTTTGATGAAACAGCATTTTTCAACAGGAAAAAAAAGTGTCAGCAGAAATATCATAGACATTCTAATACCAAAGGCTTATCTAGATCGGACGCTTGTGCAAATAAATTATGTTGAGAATTGAACCAATCTGACTGTATTTATATAGGTCCCCATGTGAACACTGTATCACTTTCCTTAGAAAGATACTCCATAAGATAACCGATCTAATTAAAGGGTTTTTTTCTTGATTAAAGATACTTGATTTTATTCAAAGAATGTAAAAGGAATCACAGAAGAAGCAAAATCTGAGAGGCACCACACGTCGATTGATTTTTCTATAAACCTGTGGACACTTATTCCGAAATAAAAATGGCTTTATGATTTGTGAGATTTTATTTTTAAAAGGAAACTTAAACTGTGCTTCCAAACCCATATAGACTTAACTGAATTAAGCTCTCACATACTAAGGGAAAGTCTGTGCTTGAAACTTCAACCCAAACTGGGCAGCACTGTAGAAAAACATACTGTAATAGACAGCTCTGCAATGAAAGGGAGGTGAAATAATGTTTTTAAGTCTTTGAATCTACTGAAGAGGAAGAAAGGGCTCATAGTTTATGAAATATTGAACACAGTAATTCTTCTCTATCCCTTGCGCTGCTAAGTGTGTATTTGTGTGCTAGCTTATTTATGCTCATTGGGGAGTATAGCTGGCTGAAGTACTATTGGATGACCGAAAAATGGCAATGAGGGCATTTAATTGAACAAAGCCCAATTCCAAAGAGTATTGATCACAGAAATAAATAAATAAAAAGGCAGATCATCTCTGCCTGCCACAGCATGCAGTGCATCCTCCCACGAATTGTTCTCACCTTCCTCTTGTAGTTCTTTGCAAAATTTTCATTCCAGCTAGGCAGCAGAATTTTCCTTCCCATCTCCTGCAATACTGCTCAATGTCATCTGCAGAACCCAGGGACTGTAACTGCACTTCACTGAACATACCGTAGGCATCCTGGACAAGGAGGCATAACCTGCAAAACATTCCTCTGTTACTCAGTGGCTCCGGTTCATAACAAACTAGTTAGCAAATTTCTAAAAAGTACATTACAAGCTTCAAAACAGGGCTTATCCTCTACAATATCCGAAGAATTCCTACCAAATAATGAATACCTGTATCATTAAACAATACCATTATCGTTAAAGGTTTTCTCATGTATATTTGCAGGAGCTAACAGGGCCATGAGATAGAGAAGCATGACAGAAAAAAAGCATAAAGGGCTTGCACTGGAGATTAGAACAACTAAGGGCTATGCACTATGGGTTTTGTGCACCTATGAAGAAAGAAGGTTGAGTTTTTCCCTAACTTGAGGTGAATTCTGCAATGCAGACAGAGCAACGATGCAAAGGTACACATGTGTATGTGTATAAATATAAAAATTCTGCTTAGAAGTAATCAAAGCAATGTATTTCACAAGTAATAATCACCAACATTGAAACTGGCAAAGCAAGCATTCTATTTGCTATAACTTTTTTAAAAGAGTCCTGAGGATGCAAAGAAGAGTGAAATGTCAATTAAAAAAAAAAAAAAGAACAACACAAAACAAAAATCCAACATGAAACTACAGATTAGTACTTTCAGTATGAAGAAGCCCAGAGGAACTATTTTAAGGGGGTAATTAAAGAACCTGCTAAACAAACAATTTGATTAAAGTAATCTATGGAAGTAGGGGCTGTAGGGCTGGGAAGCATTGCCTAACCAGCTTGCTGGCATTTTGAGAAGATATTACTGTCATAGCAGATAAGGCAAAATCAGTGGATGTCATACATTTAGATAGTCAAAAACGCATTTCACAAGATTCTGCACCCGAGATGAGCGGCCACGATAGCATGAGTCACGCAGCGCTGGAGGAAGGCGGCTGCTGTCTACAAGACTGGTTTAATCGCCCCAGAAGGAGACAGTTAAGCATGGAAACTTTTCAAAGGGAGACAAAAATTACCTTTGAGGGTAGCACACACATCTTTCATTCTAAATAAAACTCAGGGGTGCACTAGGCAGCAGAATTCAGTTCAGTTCAAAGGTACATGCCAAAACTACCTTTTCTGGAGCAGTACCATTGTTCACAGCAAGCCAACTCTAACTGCTTTTGGAGCAGATCGTGTAACATATGATATGCATCCTGAAAGCATTCAACAGTAGTCATTATATCTTTATAAAACACATTTTAAAAGAAATGAGCTCCTACATTTCTCTGGAAGAAATCCATGTATTTTTTCACAGGGAAGCTTGGGCACATGGAAGACCATTAATCACAGTTTCCTTGTTCATGATGAACTGTCTAACTTTGGCTTACGCCCTTGAAAGGGCTGTATTCGATACAGGATACAACTCCAAAGCCTTTCAGAGATCAGCATCTGTGCAAGCACCAGCTGAGAGTCCTCATTTTTCAGATGCTGGTGCTGGTTTTGAGGAACAGGGAAGTAGGACTGAACACAAATGAAGGCTCCCGTATTTTCCCCGTTATCTCTAGCTACAAGGGTCCCACACCAACAGTCTTCACCAGGCAAAGAAACATTACATACAATTCCTCCACAGCCTTCCAATGCTAAGAAGTCCTTTAAAGCCATGAAATGCTGCTTCTACCCTGAGCAACAACAAATAGGAGGAAACCAAATGCTGTTGTGATATGTAGGCTGGAAGCATACATACCCTAATTCCTGGGATGAGTGGTGTTCCTAGCCTAGAAAGAGGGTGCCTGTCCTAACAATACAAACCTGTGTCTTCAACAGCTCTATCTTTTCATTTTCTCTGTAAAACAACCCATGAGCTGCCTTCGAAGGATTCATCCCACAAAATCATCTCCAACTCAACAGAAAAAAGAGTGATGATGTGCTATGAACAGGACAGCCCAGAAGCAGAAAAACTACAGTTGCTGGCCACTTTCCATGTTAGGGCCTTGCAATCGGTTAAAAACCCTCCTGAGTTTTCACTGATCAGACTGAGACATGCTATCGTTTTGTTTGGAAAAACAGAGCTAATATGCTCCGGACATTTCTGAAAATCAGATTGAGGGGAAGAGGTAAAACAAAGCAAACAGTTTTGCCTATGTTAACAAAACATTCAGTGACTGTTAATTGTGAAAAATTAGGCCTCCGTATCTTGGAGCAAGCAAGGGCCAACTGAGTTAGCGTCTCAGATCTGATCAGTTCAGCAGTCTCTTAACTGATCACTGGAATTTCTCATCTCTTCAGTGAGACATAACTGAACACAAGTAAGTCTCAGACTAGCTGGCACCAGGCTCATATTAAGTCCTCTGGGACATGTTAATTGCCCAAATAAAATTAGCTTGGTTGGTGCCAAAGACATCACTTACTAAAAGTGCATTTTAAGCCAAGCAAAGGGATGGCTGCTGTCAGACATGGAAGTCTCAACTCCCAGCATCCCATGTCACATATTTCCATCCCTTTGTGGTGGCAGCACAAATGGCTAGGATAGGAAACTGATCTGACCAAAAAAATACCATAGCCAAATAGTCGTCGTCATCATCATCATCATCATCAATCATCATATCAGCTCCTTGAAAAATAGCTCTGTAGAAGTAAACTGCTATTTCCATGGGGTACTACTTCTGGACAAGGATGTATTTTCCAGGCAGGATCAGGAGGCTGAAGCTCCCACTCTAGCTGTCTAGTCTATGCAGCACAACATCCCAGGTTATATGATGGGAGAATGGTCATCATATGACCAAGCTCAGTACACAGAAGGAAAGGAAGAACTGTGTAGCTTGGATCGCCAATGTTCCCATTCACGCTAGTAACACATTCATGATTATTGGTATCACGAAGAAACACAGAGGAGCAGAACCGCTTGGACCAGACCCCAAGTACTTTTGCAGTACTAGGACCGTACGTGTGAGCAGACATCCACCATACTACACTTGTTCTAACAGCATCCAAAAGGTAGTTACGATTTCTCTGCAAGATGCATCTAAAAGGAAATGTATATACTCATTCACTTGGAAGACAGAATTTCATGAGCAACCTTCAGATGCCAAATTTCAGACTAAAAGATGAGGAATATCCCAAACAAATGCTATGAAGAGAACTTCACAAAGGCATGTTCCCTGCTTCAGCACTTTTAAAACAGTACGAATGAACAATGACAAAAACTTGAAATATTCTCAACATCACTTGATCTGTCTCACACTGGTTTAGTAGGTAATGCTATAGGTATTTAATGATGAGTGACAACTGATTTTCCTACCTAATGACTATCATGAAATCATCTGAATCCCACAAGAGACTCTGATGCATTTGGAGAATTATTCTCATGTTTGGGGAAAGACTTTTTAGCAGGTCCTGTTGCGATAGGACAAGGTGTAATGGTTTTAAACTAAGAGGGTAGATTCAGCCTAGATATAAGGAAAAAATGTTTTACCAATGAGGGTGGTGAGACACTGGCACAGGTTGCCCAGAGAGGTGGAAGATGCCCCATCCCTGGAAACATTCAAGGTCAGGCTGGACGGGGCTCTGAGCAACCTGATCTGGTTGAAGGTGTCCCTGCTCACTGCAGGGGGGGCCTCGACTTGATGACCTTTAAAGGTCCCTTCCAACCCAAACCATTCTATGATTCTATGATTCTCTGAAACTGGTTATGCTCTTATGGATTTTGCACATGCTGTTAGCATCACTAACAGTAGTTCAGGTGCTTTCAGGGGCTGTTGATTCATGGCCTTAACTTCCTCTCCAGCACTGTTTTTTTCTTTGATTTCATTTTATTCCCCCAAAAGTACATTTGTATTATTTTCCCGTGTTACAGTGTTCCTCTCATACTGCAGGAAATGTTCTTGCAAATTACGTTTTAGCAGCAATTCTAACTGTGATTAAAGCAACAGTTTGTCCCATGAATTCCCCCCGCTTTGAGGCTCACTACCAGGATAAAAACCCCCACCTAAATTAAGCTGCAAATCCAAAATGAGTATCTGCCCCCAGGAATTCAGTATTTATGTTTTGGGCACATCTATCACAAATACTTTTTTTTCCCGTAAAATGTGGCATTTGTACTGAATCAGTTAATCGGCTAAAGCATACCTTTACCAGTGCCTTCTCAGTATGCATAGTAATGAACTGTTAAAAAAAAGAAGGGCAACATCTCCATTTTATCTGTGGTGCTCATGTAGGGAGGAAATAAGGGACACCTCTATTTTTGGGACAACAGGATGCAACACTGTGTAAAACCTGAATTTAAAATATGGGTTTGGAAACTGAACTTTCTCATGCAAAGGAGCAGAGAATTCACTCCAGCAGCGAGGGGTGGCAGGAAAGCCAGCAGAGGAGTGAGTTGGGGAGAAGCAGACTAAGGAAAAGGTGAAGTATGACTCATTGGTAATAACAAAGGGGGCGAAGATAGGGAATGATAAGAAGTGAGCAGAGATTAGCCTTTTTTTTTTTTTTTTTTTAAAGTAATGACACAGTAAGTCTCATGCAAAAGCTTGGGAAGATCTTGTTAATTTGCTAATAGCCAGGAGCAAGGATGGGGGCTGGGGGAAGATGAGACTGATTACTCTGCATTATTTCTATGACTGTGCTGATCTTTAGGACAAAATGTTTCCCAGCAGAAATCTGGAGAGGATTACAGGATTATTCTGCCATGCCCTTTTCCTAGTTCATCACTCCTCATGGGTAAAGGGTAAAACCTTCTTTTACTATTACTTTTTTATGCATGAAAAATCCCATCTCTCCATATTGCTGCCTTGTATCAGGCAGCTGACTTTCTAGAGAGGTAATGGCAACAAAAACCTTCTTCAGCTTTGGTCACCTTCAGCCTCCTCAGCAGCTAGTGGAAAAGAATAAGAAAAAGAAGATCTGCCTGCAGAGGAGATGAGAGCACACGGAGGCCTGAACTGACTGATGACACAGGAATTGCCTTTACTGAGTCTTGTGAAAATAAGCAGCAGAAACTTGTCACGAATAGATCTTAACTAACAAATAATTGTTTTATCCTGGAGTAGGAGGACAACCATGTGGCCCACAA